AGCAATTCGTGTCGCAGTGAGTTGACGCATGTATACACTGTCAGCAGTGTCAGGATTGAATTCCAGGCACGGGATGGAGGGAATCCCAGGCTGTTGTTTTCATTTCAACTGAACTCCTAAAAGTCAGCCCTTGCTAATCAATGCCACATTGGGTAATTTGGTGCTGAGGACGTCCACCATATCTGACGCACATTTTATATCTGATATATATGATGTAGCCGGCCCTCGAAGGTTGTAAACAGTTGCATCATGGTGCTTGACGAGGCCTCCAATCCCATCGCAGGCGTTCTTGCCTCCCAGTAGCGGATACTAGCCACTTGGCCGACAGGTACTCGGTTTTAGCGTAGCTCATGAAGTTGGTGCTTATTCTTGAAGTAGCTTGCTCCGCCGTCACTGACCCACATAAAATGTGCGTAGAAAGGAGCAACGTCCTCAAGCCACTCGTGAATGTTCCCAAGGCCGTAGTATGCGCGGGCGGAATCGTGGCTGGTGTCATCACTGATCGGAGCGCAGCTACAAGTTCCTTTTTTTGGTTGTCACTATGCATGACGTCGCATGTGAATATCTTCTCTAATAATATATGGCAACCGAAGAGGTTGTGCCCTCTAATGGTTTCGCCTCCCCTCCTTTTCCACCAATGAACGCACCCCTTTTTGTGACGTGATCCTCCGGGTGACCAATTAATCAAAAACACGAAAGATGCAGCTACACTGCCTAAAACGTGGACGGGAACGAAAATACGACGTTTCGGGCGAACGTACTTCTTCAAGTGATAGATACGAAACACGGCGAGAAACAAAGAAAGGGTCGTATACGTCACAGGGCTATACATTTGTTACTCACCGATTTTTTGTTCCTTACACGAAGATGGGCGTCCGCCCGAAACTTCGTGTATTCCTTCCCGTCCACGTCCTATTTATTGTAGCACAATAATATTTCTTTTGTGATTACGTGCCGAACATCATTGTTCTCGGCAGCCCCATTTTCTTACACGCTGAGATAAACATCTGCTATCGGAACCACTTCTGTTGATTCCTTTGCTTGGCGTACACAGAGACGCTACACGCCGACTACCGAAAACGTACCCTGCTAAGCGTGCGACAGGCTAGCGTCTCTCGATTGCTCCGGCTCATGCGTACTTTTTTTTTTTTTGTTTAAATCTTGTACGAAGAAAAAAATAACTTGCTAGACTTTATCACTTAGAAACTATCGCCCACCCCTGCGCTGCCAATCTGACCACCCCGGAGCACTCTTACGGGCTGTAAAAATTATGAACTTGTCAACTACGGGTATGTATAAGACACAGAAACAATGCAATAATATTTTTGCACATCATGCTCATAGATACTATTGGCGTTATTTTGGAAGAGTTAAAATATCGAAGATAGCATTTTTTTAAATTGATTTGCAAAAGCATGCATATTTAGTAAAATGCCTCGATTTGAGCGTTTCTCGTAAACTTTTCCTGCTAATCAGTACAACAATATTTATAGCCAAATAGAGGACAACACGCTGGCAAAGTTTGAAAACGGGCTTGAATAAATGCGGACAAAAAAAAAAGTCAAAAACTTTGGCAGTATTGCTCAATGTGCCGTCGTCTGTGCGATTTTTTATTTCAAAATAAGGACGTCGATACGTAGTGATAAATAATTTGGGTCAACCATCCCGATACGGGCCAGCAGCCACAACACATTTTGGGGGAGAGCTGCCTGAAATGCCAATTTTGCTAAATCCACAGACAACGCTTCAGATTGAGCAGGTGTTTCTGACTTGTTTTCTTGAAGGTAAGTAACTTTGGGGGGGGGGGGGGGGGGGGGGGGGGGTGCCCATTAAAATTATGCATGCACATAATTTTAACAAGCAACCTTGCACTTCGGTAAAATGGGTACCGTTGCATTGACGACATCTTTTTTCACATATTTTCACAATATGGGGGCACATTAGCATTTTAATGGGCAACCCCTCTTAATAGAGCTGCCAAGCATTTCATCATTTCTTTTTTACAAAATATTTGTTTCTACATCTCTTTTTAGCTGAGGCACTGAAGTAGCTCATGTTCTGCTGTCCAATATTTTTCACTTACACAAGTTTCTGTGCAACGATATTCTGAAATATAACTTCAGGGTCATTGATGCACCTGGAAACGTGAGCCATATACTATGGGGATTGCAATGCAATGCAATAGTAAATTTATGCACTTTGGAGCAGCTCTGCTGCTTTGTCTAAAATGAAGAGAAAATAATTGGCACAGAAACTTTAACTTCAAAATAGGTGAGATAGGGTGCAGCAAAACAGCAACTAGCTAGTGTTTCTCATATGATGCACCTGCAGACACAGCTGTGAGCTGCTAAAATCTGTTGCAAGCCAAGAATAATAGGTAAGTGGAGAGAAGGAAACCACCATTGCACCATGATTGGTTGTTTTCTCCTCCCCACTCCCCTGCTCTCCAGCCTCCGCTCTGCTGATGTTGAAAGAGTGGCGGGCTCTGTGGGAGGGGCTTCCTCTTGCTGTTCTAGAGTTGCAACAGACCAGAGCGACCTGGAGGTTTTCTAAAGTGCAGCTCAAGCTGGCCGGATCAAATTAAGGCATCATATCGGCAGCAAATTCTCACAACATAAACACCCTTGAGAAAGGGTTCAGAATTGAGACAGCAGTGAAAATGCAAAATAGTTTGGTCGGTTGTTTGTAAATTATTTTTCTTTAGCTCTTTGTAGCTGTTTTCTTCGAGCTTAATTTAAACAACAAAAAACGAGTGAAATTGTAATAGCTCTTTATTATATCTAAAATTCTTTTATGGGTACTTCTTCCGAGGTGTAGGGCTATCTCAATGCTCCCTGCGTATGCAAAAGAAAGATGTATATAGTCATAAGCTAAGCACAAGGCTGTCGAAACAATACAAAACAAGGTGAGCCTGACATGCACACAATACAAATAATCCTGCTCGATCTGCAAAGAGAGACCAGCTCACCTTGATGAAAACAACTGGTCTGGACCATAAAGGAAGGCCAGCACATCTCGGCGCCTAGTCTTTTCCTCCGAGGAGACCTGCGCTTATCACAGAAAATGTAGTTTTAGTTGAAAACCAATTGACATTGCAGGAGAGAGGCATGAAATATGATACAGCAAGTAATGTCCGTGACAAATAGAACACAGACCACAGCTCACTTCCAGTAAAACACCGTGCCTTGGGCCTCAGGCAATTAACGAAACAAAAACTTGTCTACGCTCAATCTTGCACTTTACGTGCAGGAAACCTGCAATAGACCCTTTCCGAAATTCAGTGCCATCTGGTGGTTTGTAAAGCAGTTTAGGTTTTGCCATATCAATGGCGGAAACGAACTTGTATCGGCACCGTCGCTTTCGCAAGTCAACGGCACGCGAGGAATTGTTCGGTGTGAGTTCTTTCTCGATCACGTTCAGTTCGATGGTGACCAAGAACTTGCATTCAGAATTAAGCTCCAACCCACTCAGATGCCTCGAGAAAATTCCCTACACCAGTGTGCTTTAAAGCCGATTGTATGCCGCCCACAGAGTGACTGAATCTGAGTTATTAGAAATAAACGCTTACGTAGCTCTTGTGTTCCATTCCTACGTCGCGTCGTACTGACCCCCCGAATACAGGCCTCGCAAGATCCGCTTAGGATCATCTTCAACGTCTTCCTTTATCAGTCACTAGAAGACCGCCATTGGTATGGCACAGATGCTGTTCCACAGATGATGATAGTGATCAAAGTAGCCAGACAGAATTTCGGAAAGGGTCTATTGCCAGGGAAAATGCAGATTTAGTTGAAAACCAACTGACATTTCAGAAGAGAAGAAAAATCTTGGGCAGCAAATAATGTCTGTGACAAGTAAGACGGGTAGGAGACCATAGCTCACCTTCAATAAAACAATGTGCCTGGGCCGGCCAGTTAAAAGAAGAACACCTTGTTCGGACCCCAGTCTACGCTTTCATCTGAAGAAACCTGCGCTTAACAGGAAAATGCAGTTTTAGTTGAAAACCAATTGATATTTCAGAAGACGAGCGAGATAAAACCTGATGCGGCTAATAATGTCTGTGATGAATAAAACACAGACCACTTGTAATGGGACCATAGCTCACCTTCAATAAAACTCCATGCCTTGGACGATTAAAAAAACAAAAAAACTTGTCCACGCTCCATCTTGCGCTTTACGTGCAGAAAACCTGCAATTGCCAGGGAAAATGCAGATTTAGTTGAAAACCAACTGACATTTCAGAAGATAAACCTAGTGCAGCAAATAATGTCTGTCACGAATAAGGCACAGACACTTAAAGAAGAACATAGCTCACCTTCAATAAAACAACGTGCCCGGGCCGTTTAAAAAAAAAAAAATAACAGCTTGTCCGGACCCCAGCTTACGCTCTCGTCTGAGGAAACCTGCGCTTGTCAGGAAAAATAGAGTTTTAAGTTGATATTGCACAAGAGGAGCAAGACAAAACCTGATGCAGTGAATGTCTGACGAATAAAACATGGACCACTTGTAACGGGACCATAGCTCACCTTCAGTAAAACTCCATGCCTTGGACGATTAAAACAACAAAAAACTTGTCCACGCTCCATCTTGCGCTTTACGTGCAGAAAACCTGCAATTGCCGGGGAATATTCAGATTTAGTTGAAAACCAATTGACATTTCAGAAGAGAAGAAAAATCTAGTGCAGCGAATAATGTCTGTGATGAATAAGGAACAGACACTTGCAGAAGACCATAGTTTACCTTCAATAAAAACGATGTGCCCGGACCAGTTAAAAAAAGAATGACTTGTCAGGACCCCAGCCTACGCTTTCATCTGAGGAAGCCTGCGCTTATCAGGGAAAATGCAGTTTTAGTTTATAACTAATTGATATTACAGAACAGAGGCATAAAAAAAAAAACTAATGTGGCGAATAATGTCTGTGACGAATAAAACAAAGACCACTTTTAAAGAGACCATAGCTCAGCTCCAGTAAAACACTGCTTTGGTCAGTTGAAAAGAGAAGACTTGTCAACGGCTCATCTTGTGCTTCTCTCCGAGGAAACCTGCGCTTGTCTGAGAAAATGCAGTTTTCGTTGATCGCAACACCTCAAGGCCAGGTATTGTGTTCTAGGATCTTTTAGAAATCATCCGCAAATTACAACAAGTCACATATGCTACAGGTGAAAACGAGACTATTTTAAGACTACTAGGGCAACATATGAAACCTGCCCACTGAATCACTCTAAAAATATGGCATATAAAAAGTAATTAGGTTGATGATACATATAAACTATGAAAAACAAATAAAGTCTTCCAATTTTTAAACATTCTACAGCGAGAACCAAAGGGAATCTAACCCATTTTCGCGAGAAGCGGCACTGTAATTTGTGACGTATCGTAAAATACCGGGCAAGCGCCCACTCAATATTTAGACATAATCGCAAAAAAATGGGAGATGGGCGCTTTTCCGGTTATTAATTTTACATTTCAACGTACTGCGCAGACTTTGTCAGATATTACAAATTTGGGAATGGGCACTTAGTGGAGAGTGGGCGGATGCACGGTATTCTACGGTATGTTCAGCTAGGTGGTGGATTTCTTTTATAAAAATTTCGAAGGAGAAACTTGCCCCGGTCAAATGTTACAAATAAATACAATAGGTTTCCTATGGACAGACATGGAATCAAGGCTGTCTCAGGTGGAAGTTTAAAAACGCGGTTGAGGGGCACTAAACTATATACGAGACAAACCGGGTGATGAGAGCGAAGTAATAAGTGTCTTCGTTCCTACCTTCAATGTTTGAGCTAAATCGAACGTCCCATTGGCCCACAACATTTTCAAGCTCCAATCTGAATAAGCTCAAAACCACGTTGGTCCATAACAAATATATTGTTTTTATTTGTAACTCTTTGCTGAGGTAAGTGTTTTCTTTGGTACTATTTTAACAAAACAAATCCACAACCTAGCTGAACCTACGTCACAAACCACACTACCGTAGCAAGCGAGACTGATTTTTTGGGGGGGGGTCAAGTCGGCTAGCGCACACCAGATCGGAGCATGTGGAGCGAGAGCTCGCACTGCAGAACTTAGGGATCCTGGGTTAAATCCCCACACATGCTCATTTGAACTGGATGAGCATCGTACCCGCATGCGGTCGTGTCTCACTACTGCGTGTGCTTGTTAAAGACCGCAGGCTAGCGGTTCTACTGCACTGGCTAAATCGCTCATCTACAGCGAGTTATTCGTCACAACTTTGAAATGGCTGACTAACTACACGCTGTATAACTATCCACATAACCCAAATTATTTTTACTGATTTTTGCGATGTATATAAATTTGTGGGCTAGATTCCTTTGGCCCTCGCTGTATTGTAAATTTACAAGGACCTCAAGATTCTAATGGTAGGCGGCGGTATGCGAGCCTTCATTGTACCTAATATGAATAATATATATAAAATCAAGTTATCTAATCTGTCTATCATTTTAATTCCATCTAGCACTATAAATAAAACACTGTCTCTTTAATTTATGCTGCAGGGCTGCCGCATATGTCCTTGCTTTTTCTTTTATATTGTGTACCATTTGTAAGAACTGAAGGCAGTACAGGAACTTTTAGAAACATTTTCGCCTTTAGTCTCGTATCCCCATCGGTCAAATTAGAAAAAGAAAATCGAATTAAAGGAATTCCTTCCAGCGCAGCTCTTGGGCGCCTCTTTACCGGCTTCAGCGGCGTCGGCGTCGCCGTAACTGCGCGGTGCATTATAGGACCTTTCCCATGATGCAACACGTGTGGAGGAGGACGAGGGGAGGAGGAGGGGAAGAGGAGAAGAGAAGAGAAGGGAAGAGGGATGAGGAGCAGAGGAGGGACAGGGAGGAGAGGAGGAAGGGTATACCCTCCCCTCTTCCTCCTCAAGAGCTATGCTCTAATTCGGCGTTACGGGGTGTTGTAAACGTCTTTTTCTTTTTTTTGATCCGATAAAACAAATTTTTATCTGCAATAGCAAAAATCAAGCATCACAAAATATAAGAGGGAAAGACGAAAATAGAAAACACACCATTAGAGTGAACGAATCTTGTTCAGCAGACCTAGAATTCTGGCTGGGATTCCATTGACCTTGTTGTGACCACGGGAGCTGGACTTGCTACCTTTAGATGGGTTTATCTGGCCAAAATGCCTGTATAAGAGGTCAAAGAAACGCATGTCAATTGAACATGAACAACTCACATTCTTGGGTGAAAGATGTCGAGATGTCCTTGTGCGTGTTTATACAGCCTGCCTTTGGGCTGACTTTCACATGTCGGTGGCTGGTTCCCACTGCGCAGCAAAATATCTCGTGCAGTATGGCTGCTAACCCGAGGCCTTTAGAGCCAACATGCAGTAGTGATACACGAACAGATGCCAGTATAATGCCTATCAAGATTAGAACAAGTGAGGCGCTAGTCCGACTGTGGATTCCTGGACTCTGCAGTGCGAGGTCTAGGTCCACATGTTCAGGGTTGCGGTGCACTAGCATAATCGACCACCAGTCCTGCCATGAACAAACACTGAATTCTGACATATCTGTACCTCTGAAGGAACTCCAGCGTGTACGAGGCCTCCTTTGGGTACTTGATGTTGAAGACGAAATACGCTCCCAGGAGCGAGCAGAGAGCGACCTCGAGACTGCTTGCCTCAAACACAAGCACCCTGTCAACAACCAGCGCAATCTGGAGAGGGTCATCTAGAAGCGTAGAACCTAAGTGAAAAAAAAAAAAAAGCAAGATGTGATGATCATCAAACCGACATGTTACAGATGTAGTTAATTTATTGCAATCGTAACGGTTCAAATGGATGACAGAAAGGACATTGCAATGAGGTAAACTAGGAAATATGGATGCTCTGCATTGGAATACAGTACAAGCTCGTTACAACGGATCTTGTTGCAGCAGAAACTTGGATACAACATACTGATTTGTGAAGCTCAGTTGGTTTTCCTATTTGTACCACTGATTCAACTTCCTATCTGAATAATACATAATCCTTTTTTACAACAGAGCGAAATAGTAGTCAAAACCAGGGCTCGGCGATATCAGAGATGCATGTATCTCCAATACTAACTTCAGAGACAGTCGAGTACCTTGTATCTGGTACTGCCTGCCAGGAAAAAATGTATCAATGTATCAGTACCTAATACCCATTTTTACAGTATCGAGTATTTTGGAGATACCCAATAGTTAAGAAATTAGCATTAACTTTTAAAGCTCACTTCCAGTTCATTTTCTTTCTGGCAAAACCAGGCTATCCTTCTTTCTATTTTGTGAGCTGTACATGCAAATTGCACAATTTTGTTTTTTGGAACTGTGGGAACGGGTCGGGTAACACCTTCTGTAAAAGGGCAGACAGACAACACCGGCATCTTTGTTGAACTGACATCTCCTCAGTTGAAGGCCGATAAGTGGACTAATGCAATGCAATATATCATCATTAGAGGGTTTTAGTAAGCCGGATTTTCAGTCCTAAAGTGATACCCACTAAAGAAACACGTTTAAGGGCAATGGAAGGGTATCGTCATCGGGATTAACAAAACGGTCTATAAAAATTTCAAGATCTCTGCTAAGCGTGCCTTTGAGCTCGGCAGAGAGCTATCAAGGCAATCGTGGCCAGTAGCATTTGGCCTCTTTCTTTCCTGGTTCCCTGCCCTCCTCATTTCCAGCTCTCCCTATCCCCCGTTTACCCTCGTCACTCCCATCCCCTTGTCTTCCTCCTCTCTCCCTTGTTGGCTGTGCGTTTGTCAAGGTAAAAGGTGACCCTGACCTTGGACCCTTGACCTCTCCTCCTCCCGTGTCCCCCATCCCTTCTAGCTCCCCTCCCTTCTCCCTTTCATTCCCTCGTCTCCTCCTCTTTGCTCCTCCTCTCCCTTCTCCTCTATATCCCTCTTCCTTCCCACT